TTGCCGCCATTGCAAATAAACGTTTAAAAACGTCAAATGGTCTGATTCTGGGACCTGGAACAAAAAAAAAATGAAAAATCCTAACACTGAGAAAAGAAAAGCTTTAGGACAGTTTCCTTAGAAAATGAGAAGTTAAGAAAAAAAGAAATAGAAAACAAAAGAGAAAACGAAAAGTAAAGAAATCACCTGGAATTTCTCCTTTTTCGCATCTGCCTCATCTTCCCTACCTTTCGGTCGGAAAAATATCGCCGGCACGGAAAGCATAGATACTATGGTCAAGACCTGCAACCAAAAATCAGAGTAAAAATCGACTTCTAACTTTGTTGGTTATTAATTTTCACAGGACAAAAGTTATAGGTCGTCCAAGTTTTCCTAATCGGGAAAGCAAAAGCAAAATACTGACATCTTCACTGCATCCCATCGATTCTGACATGATTAACATCTTCGATAGCGTAGGATCCAGTGGAAACTCAACCATGGTCCTACCTAATTCTGTGAGCCTGAAAACTCAGAAAATAGTTCACAAAGCAGCCTAAACGGACGAATTCACACTCCAAAACCTGATCCTGTTGAATGAATTTATAGATTATGTATCTCTCGAGAAAACGTTACGATTAAAAATGGAAGGAAGCAGGAAAACTAAACGTACTGTCCAGTGTTGTCGAGTGCTCCAAGGGTCCATAGCTGATACATGGAATTAAGCATGTTATCCTGTGGTGGCGCATCCATAAAGTGAAACTTGAGCAGATCGTCAACACCAAGAGACTTCAGAAAGCAGCACGACGTTCGAGAGATTTGTTCGTTGAATTTCAGGGACTGTCGAGACCTAAGTGTATCGTACCTCGAGAAAAAACAAACAACTGATCGATAGGATGTCGAAAATCTTGAGGAATATTCACTTCAGGAGCGACTAGCACAACTCACGAGCATCTCCTCCTTGAACTGCCGCTCCGTGTAGAGACGGAAACATTGTCCTGGACCTGTTCGACCAGCACGACCAGCTCTTTGATTTGCAGACGCTTGAGACACGGGGAAAATCTAAAATATAGTCATGAGGATTTTGAAAGGTTTGTCCCCAGCTTGCTTTAGAATATGAGTGTAACAAGAAGCATGAAAAAACGGCTTAAATTCAACACTAAGAAACTCAGAAAATTCAAAATAGGCGCTATTACAAAACGTGGGGGTTTTATCAAGAAACAAGTCTAAGAGGGACAGTATGGCATTGGATTCGGGGGACGGGAGGGTGGCGAATGAAAAGTGCTCCGACCCTGGAATCTCTCCGGCCCTTCCTGAGGTTTAGCTTGCTTTCTACCAAAAGGGGATCTTTCACGCTAATTCAGATGCAGTGTCACTACAACCCAGTTATATAGCGATATTCCTTAGAGTCCTTCGAGAGCTTTGCCACTTATAGCCATAGTTCCATGCCCGTTAGGTTTTGAGCGAAATACTATGAACTATATTTAACCAGTTTTTCTGAAACTTCGCAAAAATTGCCTATTTCGATGTTTCATGCGAGATTTCCCTACGCTTTCGTTTCCCTACGTAAAGTCCTGCAATCAAAAATGAACAAGTTTTCCTAGCTACTACAACCCTTTGGATATCGTGCGGGTCAGCAACGATGGCCAAGTCCATATCAAATCAATAGCAGCAACAAAAAGTTCTTCATGATAAGAAAAAACAGAGAGGTCAGAAAACAAGGGAACATTCGAAACATAGACAATACACACAATCTACACATGATATTTACTTACACAGTCCTCGCAAACAGCACAAAATTCCTAACCTGGAGAGCATCCATACCAATACGTGGATTGTAGACTTTCATTTTGCAGAAACCCGGATCGATCACAAACAGAATACCGTCAACGGTCAAAGAAGTCTCAGCTATATTCGTGGCCACAATGCACTTCCGCATGCGCCAGGGGCCACGTTGGAAGTTCGCCTGATGAGAGAATTCAAGTATAACTGACGTAATTCCATTACCCCGAAATATTTTAATAATTAAATGAAACTTCCTGTAAAGTCACTGGGCTTAGTTGGCGAGTAGATTGAGCACAGCAAGGGGAGGAGGTGCATCACACTTCGAGTCGTGCATGTCATCAGACTGCATGTTACCGTGACCAGTAGAATTACTATGGGGTAACTTCTGTGACAGACGAGTTTCGAATTCTAAGAGATTTAAACCTAATCCTTGTTTAATCTCGAAGCTCACTTCAATGTCTTCCTGACCAGGCATAAAAATCAAAATATCTCCATCCATGCCACCAAGGTGAACAGTGATTGCTTGTTTGACGGCGGCATCCACATAATCTTCCACCTGCAATGGAGGAAAATCTTTCCAACCAGAAAAAAATTGGCAGACGGAGGAAACAAACTAATTGTGTACAAGAACCAGTCAGAAGCAGAACAAAGAGATAACCCAAGGGTAAGGCAGTGACCGGCCGCTTCAATACAATCTTGTTCAAATAAGAACTAGGCCTGGTTGTTTTCAATACGACTGGGTGGACAGGTAATTTAACAAATAAAATCATTAACCTCGTTAAAAGTCAGAATCTACAGCTATCAATGCAGAAATCAACGGGCAGGAATGGATCCCATTTCTCGAATTCTGGGTAGTTTCCCATAGTTTTTTTCTTCATCCCAGCCACTGACCACCTGCACCTGAACTCTAATGGGCTTCCCTTCAAATCATAAACTCCAAATTTAATCAGAAGTCGACCGATGGAGGAGTTGTCGACAGTGCGCTGGAGCCACTTATTCCCCTCTTCCCCATTCGTAATCTTTTTTATAGAAGAAAACGTAAACCAATACTGTTACGTGTCCACATCTGTCGCTACTGATCGAGGACAAGACTGCTACCTATAGGAGACCTCGGAGGGATGGATGATTATACAGGCCTGGGCGAACTACTTTACTTCCGCTCAAGGATCGATTGTGAAATGCAACGAGTTCAAAAAAATCGAAAACAAAAGCTGCCAAGATACCGGGGCTCTCGCGTGAAAAATCTCCACGGGAAACGTACGGCCAGGTATCGTGAATGTTGGACAGCTGCCTAAACAGAGAGAAATCAATCTAAGGTGGAAGAATGGAAGAACGCAACACAATTTATTTGATAAAATTAGAACAAAAAACAAACCTCCAAAGAAATTTGCAAACTTTTCGGCATCCATTGTAGCGGATGTGACAATAAGGCGTAAATCGGAGCGTCGAGCAATCACATCTCGGAGTAGACCGAACAGAACGTCAGTATTGAGTGAACTGAATTGAAGTGCATCTCACGATTACCAATAAATGATTTCTATCAAGAGTTTTGGAATCGCTTGCTAGTGAAATCTGTTCACACAAATGACAAATTACATTACTATAAAATAAGATATGAATTTTCGTTCACTGAACTTGATCCTCAACAGGTTTTTGAAAAGTGAAGGTGCAATAAATACCGTTCGTGAGCTTCGTCCATGATAATAGCGCTGTACTGATCAAGATCGCCGTCACCCAGACATTCCCTGAGCAGGATACTCGGTCATGTTTTTTTTTTTTTTCATTTTTATTTTTTCTACTTTATCACAGTTCAGTTTCTGATGTGCAATTTTCGAAACGGATGGCATATCCGACTTCTTGACCAAGCTAAATACGAAACTGATAGTATTTGTTCGACCTCATGGGCTAGAAAGTACTGAGGATACCTCGACATCCATTTCATCAGCTACACGCTTCGCTACACTCATAGCAGCAACTCGACGTGGTTGGGTGCAACCGATGATTCCTGAAAATGACAAAAATAAGAATGGTTAACGCAGGTCATTCCCTTCGGGAATCGTATTTGCCTTATATTAAGAGTCATAGAGGCATTCGGGCGCTCATTTAACTGGCATAACTCAACGAAACCACACGACTCCTTTAAGGACACACTGACGCCGAAAGAGATAACTGCCTTAAAAAATTGGATAAACTGAGGTGTTGAGTACCGCCACAGTAAGTGTTATCCGGGGAGATGCCTACAATTGTTAATCGACATAAATGGATGGAACACTAAGATTCTATACTCATATACTGGTGTGGACTGTACAGCACGAATATGGTGAAGGTATCAATGCATAATTCCCGGTTGTATCATATCTTCTGGCAGCGGAGTAGTATCAAGTAATCACGAAGGTAGGAGAATGTGTCGTGTCTGTTGTGGTTGTCTTTTTTTTCATTTGTTCTTTTTTTTTATCGCGACTCGGAAAAGCTCATGGCAGAGGTGCCGACTTATCACATTGGAATCGATACTTGGGGGCTTTGAATCTGGCACATTGGAAAAGTGCTTTTGTACCCAGCATTTCTTGTCAGTCTCTAGCATATAGCCTGTTGTCCACATTTTCGAATGTTGACTCATAACCTTGCACACAATCCAATAAGGGGAGGCTGTACTTTTCAACTTAAAGCTTTTATCGCTTTTCTTCCTTTTTCTCAGTGACGGTTTTTTATTGTTGAAATTGCCTTTAGCTCTCTTCACTAACTTTTTAGACTCGATTCGATTTAGAGATAGGTTCCTGCCATTACGTCATCCAATCCCGCAACGGCTGAATTGTGCCAGCATAGCATTCTTAGCTCCAAATCCAAAAGAGGAATGGATTTGCCTCATCCCCTACTTGCTGCTTGATTTTACAATATAACAGCTCATTTATCTTGAATTTGTACAACCCTACTGAACAATGCGGCTTATGAAAAAACGCGAAAATATCTTACCTGTACTTCCAAATCCTTCCTCGAGCAAATATTGCGCAAGCTGTGTGGTTTTTCCTGAACCAGTCTCTCCGACTATAATCACAACATTGTTCTCTCTAATGACGTTAAGCATTTTCTGTCGGCACGCAAATACGGGTAGGTATTCTCGTTGTTGCTGCAAAGCAAAAGCAGCAATTAGTCACATGAAACACACCATTGCAGCTTCCAACAACGCCTGCTATAGTGATAGAGACTAGTAGCAAGCGTAAATTGTAAGCCTTAATGAATTACGGAAAACAATCCAGGGGAAGCGCTCTGAAATCCTCCCCTGAACAACAACAGACAATCAGAAGCGTGTCTAATTCTTTCACCTTATAAGCCCACTCAAAGTGTTCTCTGACTTTTACACGGTTCAACGATTTCAGGGACTGCAAGATCTTGAGAAGTACAAGGCGCTCGAAATTACAGGAATAACATAAGCTTCTATCATTCTGCCTCACAGAACTTAAAATGCCCTTTCTAGGCAGAAAGAAATCCCAACACCACCTCAAGAAAGGGTAGAAGATAAAACATCCCACGCAGCTTCGTCCTTTTTTAAGAGGCGTCATGAATTCTTCTTCAACTCGGAATTGTAATGTCATTTGAATGCGATCTGGCTCATAAAGGAATTGAGGGGTCGGGGGAGGACAACCGAACAAATAAGTATTTTTATCTTGCCAGGCGAGTCTGGTACCAAAAATCTAATCCAAAGAGATGAGAGCTCGTTTGACCATAGGCAGACTGACTCGGTACGGAACTTCATGCGTGGACCGTGCTTGTGATTGGAGTCACCACTTTCCGTTCAAGCACCTTCGCCCTCATCGTTATCCTCTACTAACCAAAAATTTGGTTCGTTTTTCTAGCTGCGCTGGTCCATCACCGGGTCTGCTAACTAACTACTTCCAAACATGAAAGAGCAAGAAGGCGTTAAAGTAAACATGCCAAGATCGCTTTGCATGGGCAGCTTGTAGATCGAAATCATAACGCTCTATTTACATCAAGATGCCCATAAACGAGAGAATGATAGCGGCAGGTACTGGCGCCATAAAAAGTACAAACCTTACCCTCAATGTCTTCTCCATTGCGAAATCGGACACGGCCTCCGATTTTTCGCTCATGTGCGAGGCAAACTGGTGAGATTCCTGAAATTTCATACAATTGATCTTCAAATTTCACAAGAAAACTATTCCATGAGTTTTCAGCAACTTACTCTGTAATCACTAGCGTCATCTTTATCAGGATCTTCTACTTCATCGGGTTTCTGCTTAACGCCCATCAGATTTCCCAGCTTACTGCCTGCCAATTCCCAG